TTGGCTGTCCTGTAATTTGTTCTGTAGACCAGGCTGACCTCAAACAGATCTGCCTCCCAAGTGCTGGGATTAAAGGTGCACCACCACCTGTTTCTCCTCCTGTGTAGCCATGGCTCATGGACTGTTTGATGCTCCCCTTCAGTCTAAGCAGCTAAAATCCCCATCCCTGTTTATAGTAGTGCTGAGGTTTGAAGGTCTGGCCAGTGGTCTGTGGAATATCTCCTTCTTGATTTGGGTTACTGGTGGTAATTTTTTAATTACAGAGTAATTTCAGACAGATAATCACAAGAACTCATGTAGGTTTGCTCAGTGTCCCAGGTTGCCTGTGTGTCTGAATGATTTGGTAGTGAATTACAGATGCCATCTTATACCTCAGTTCTCCAGTGTTTGTGTTTTGTACATTGTCTCACAGAAGCAGAACACTGTGGTCAGGATGGGCACAGGGAACATTGGTGAGCTGTTACCTAGCACTGTGAATGTTTGCATCTCGCTCCTTGCCCAGCAATGCAGTTTCCACAGCATTTCCGCTGTGCAATGTTCCACTGGTAACATTTCATTGTGGTGTGAAAGGCAATTAGGGATTTGTGGCTGTGAACCTCAGCAAGGTGTTCAAGGCTGCTGAGCCCACCTGCTATCCCATGGCTCATCTGCTTCCCTTTCTCTTGTCTCCACGGGAGGGGTCTTCTTTGCTATGAAGTCACACCTTCACTTGGCTACTCCTAGACCCCAGGCCTTCTCCCCTAATTTAATGGAAACGGTTGCCACTTCTCCTAGTGTTCTAGGGAGCTCTTTGGGTTTGTTGTTCCCTTCTAGCATGGCCCTGTTCTTTGCCCTTCTTCCTGCTAGCTCAAAAACACCCTATGCGCCCTCTAAAGTTCACCCTGCTCTTTGCTCTCAGGTCTCCTGCCAAAAGCCTTTCTTTGTTGCCCCTACAGTGATCAGCTAGTGTAGGGTCCAGGGGCCCCTGGAGACATATGTCCCTTGGCTTTCTGCACTGGCTTCTAGGATATCACCCTCCTAGAGGTCTACTCCTCTGAGTCTGTCTTTTCCTCAGTGTCTTAATTATGGGATACCCCTGGCTCAATCTGGGAGCCTGGACCTGAGCAGCCAAGGCAGGGGAGGCATCTGCTGTTTTGGTAGACAGTGGTGTGCCTTCCTGAGGCTAGAGCCCCTCCGTCATCCTTCCTAGTCTAGACTCACCCTTTTGCTCCCAGGGTAGGGAAGATGCCCTTTGTAGAGACTGCACCCAGTCTTTTTGAGTACCATCTTCCTTGCAGAAGTGCTGAGGCCCTCATGGCAAGACCCTTGAGGGTCTGTGCCTACCATTGACTGCAGGCAGCCCTTGGCCTGTTTGCCTACCAGTACTGCTGTGTCCCATGCTCTGATGTGATAAACCAGAAGCTGCATTGTGTATATGGTGGAGAATGTGCTCCATTAAACTGCATCCCTTATGATCTTGTCCAAGTACAACCCCACACCAGGTAAGTGTCAGTCATGCAGCCTGTGAAGTGGCCCTGCCTAGGTACACTGGGGTGCAGAACCCTCTACCACTGACTTCACCAGATACTGGGGTCCAATGTGGAGTTGATACGGCAGGTAATAAACACAGCTTCCTTTCCCAGAGTAGATGAAAAGACTCATGAGCATTGAATGGGCTCTGCAGTGTGGATGAAGAACCCAGCAGCTACAGCGTTTGCTGGGGCTAACAGAGGGCCATTTGCTATAGCACAGACTATGTCCAGGGGCCTCAGGATTGGAACATAAAGCTTGGTGACTACAAGTTTCTAAATGTCCTCATAAGAGCATGATTAGCACAAATGTACCTGGAAGAAACCAAGAGATAGAGTCACGCCTCTCAAATTATGGGGAAACTGTTGTAGAATTTTTCCCCCTCTTTAGAACATGCCATTAGAAGTATCTGTCAGTCACCTAGCTAGTACCTGTGACCTGTGTCACTGAGTGTCCTGCTCTGTGCCTGGCTTGCCCATTGACTTATTCCGGGCCCTCCTTGCTGAGGGCCGTGCCCCACATTCCTTGATTTATTCTGTATGCACTGGCATTTTTGTCATAGTTTGCTTTTTAGTAATTAAGTAACTATCCTTCCTCTGTTCAATCCTTCCCAAATTAAAATGTATGTCCTTTAGTCTCTTCCTAATTTAAAGCAAACATTTTTTTCTCTTTTTTTCTTTGTATTAGAGTTAGGAAACAAGACCTCATAGCTTATGTAGGGTATCTGGGGTTGACCTTGAACTTCTGGTCTTCCTATCTTTTTTTCCTCAAATGCCTGAATTACAGGCATGTGCTGCCACACCCAGTTTACTCTGGGGACTGAACCCAGGCATGAGTTACCCTCTCAACTCCACCCTCCTCTCAGGTCTACTCCCAGAAGCGTGTAGTTGTGGCTCCCATACAGTTCAGCCAGAGATGGCCCCGTGTGGGCCCTCAAGACCCCTTGGCTTTCTGCACTGGCTTCTAGGATATCACCCTCCTGGTCCAAGGATGTGACTCAGTGGTAGAGCACTTGCAAGACCCTGGGTTTGATCTCCAGTGCCAGAAAACAAAAAACAATGAGATACGACATCAATATTAATCAAATATCCGGAAAACAAAACAAGAATGAGTTAGGAAAGATCTGGAGGAATTCTAAAACTTGTATATGTTCTAATAGTGAAATGGGAGGTGGTGTAGCCACTGTGGAGGACAGTATGGTAGTTCTCAGAACAGAATTACCAAATGACCCAGCAATTCCACACAGAGTATAATGTCAGGAGATTGAAAACAAGAATCAAACTGACATTTGTCTCTGAGCATTCATAGCAGCTGTGCTTATCAACAGAGTGGACAAGCAGAATGTTTTGTTGGACACCTATGGCAATGTTCAGCCACAAGAAGGGTTGGTGTTCTGGCACCTGCCACAATTGGACACTCCTTGACAAGCCCAGAGAGATAAGCCAAGTCACCAATGTGAGGGTCCCTGGATAGATTAGACTCAGAGATGGAAACTTATTGGTGTGTGTCAAGGCAGGCAGTGGGTTGCCATGGTTAATGAAAACAGAACTGCTGTTTGGATTGGTAAGAGACAATCTGTGAGCCACCATGTGGTTCAGGGAATTGAATTCAGGACCTCTAGAAGAGCAGCCAGTGCTCTGAGCCATCTCTCTGGCCCCAATGAGAGACATTTTGGAAGAAGCATCTGGTATACTCAATGCCATAGAATTGTAAATTTGCATTGAATTGTAAATTTGCAAGTGGTGAAAACACCAAATTTTATTATAATAAATATTTATCAAAGCAGGGACATTCAAACCTACATTTATAGGATGCCATACTTAAAAAATTTCTAAAAGTGAACAAAAACACTAGAACAGTGAAGGCCCACATCCCTGAGCCCACCCTCCTCCTACTTTAGTGAGTTAGAGCACTTCTATTTTCTTTCATTTGTAACAGCCATCCCAATGTCTGCCTTTGCACTCACCTGTCTCTCATACTTGTGTGTTTGAATTGAACTCCAAATACAGGTCTCTTTCCTCTCTGGGTCATTATCTTGTAGGGATTCACACATTCTGCATTTCACAAATTCATGGAAGTAGTTAACTATTTGTTTGCTGCTTCTAGCATTCCCGAGTATGTGTCCCCCACCCTGCCAATTCTTGGGCCATCAGACTTGGTAGCTATCTGGTGACATTGAAGCCAACCCTGTGTTTAGGGGGCCAGCCTTGTCTAGACTTTAGTCCTAAGGCCTTTTAAAAGGCAGGGAAAGCTGGGCGAATAAGCAGACTAGCAGCATGCAGAGAGTTACTCTTAGTCTCACTGTGTGTAGAGCAGCCTCAGGGAATGCACTTAGTCTTTGGCTGTACAAGGATCCTCACCAGTGTGTGAAGGGATAGCTACTGACCTAGACATTTAACAAATGGTGAAATGGTATATTTTATGGTTTTTTAACCATAAAAAAATGGCCATTTGGCATATACACAGACACTGAGAATTTACTGGGAAATCTAAAAAAAAAAAAAAAGTACATATAGTATAACTACTATTGGGGGGAAAATGTTATTTTCCTGTTTTCTCACATACCTGATCTCTAAGGTGTGACATGTTTGTGATACCTTAGAAGCTCATACTTTGAGATACTTTACATGGCTCCTAATTTCAGCTCCTTGTGCTTTTAAAACTAGCAGCATTCACATCTTTGAATTCAGTGCATTAATGATCACTTCTTGACTTTAGGAATTTGAGAGCGTGTTTTGCGGTAAGACTGGCAGAAGGCTAAAGCTGACCAGACCCGAATCCCTGGTGACCTGCCCTGCACAGGGCAGTCTGCAGAGCAGCCCCGCCATGGAGATCAAGTGACTGAACTGACCCAGGACCTGGGAGAGAACTGCCGATCTTGCGGTGTCATGCACATGCCCGCCATCCCAGAGCTCAGCTCTGAGTCCTCAGAGGGATGTGGCTCCAGTTGGTGGGACTCCAGGAAGGATTTTGAGAGCACATTTTGCAAAAGTATTTATCTAAACAAAATACTTACCCACTAATGTCCAGATGACCATTTGAGGATGAAGACATCTTGATAATTAGTAATTTTTCAATTACCTGTCCGACACCATCATGTGTTCTTAACATGATAACTTAAAAAAATTAACATCCTTGGTAATTTCTTGAGTCTCAAGACTAAAGAAAACATTGCCGTTTACTTATTTTGTTTACATTTTAAATATGCCCCTTTAGCAATTGGAAGAAGGTAAATTGTTCTTAACTAGAAGAGGTTTGGAAACTTTATTTCATTTGTTTTATCACCCCACCCCACCCCTTTCCAGTCTCATGGTACTCTGTATTGGAAAATACAGTGCCATTTTAAAACTTTTTGCTAAGAATTTTCCAGAGACTTCTTTTAAAACTCCTTTTGCCCATAAACATTTTCTCAGTAGATTGCTTCAATGCCCACATTTCCACATTGTGAGTCATTGCTTTATGTGTAATAAACTGTATGTTTGGAACACAGATTTCCAGTGAGTAGCTTTATTTATTGTACAGACGGTGCAGTGTAGTTCCTTCAATAAATACTGGGAGCCAGAGATGTTAAGTTTGCAGTAGAAAGCAGGTGGAACATATTAAGTGCCTCACCTCCATCACACTGTAGCCAGTGCTAATCTGGAGTGTTAGCAGATTGCTTTATTGGTAGTCTATTATAGGCTTTATATAAGTGTTATGTAAACAAGCCTCTGAGTGTTTTCAATCTCATGGAATTGTACAAAAACAAAAAACAAACAAACAAAAAAAAAAAACCCCAAAAAAGGAAAACCCAAACTCTTAAGATTCACCATCCCTTCCAGATGCTGGGCTTAAAGTCTCCATCCCTAGGGCCTGTGCCTGAGGTATGCTGTCACAGATGGATGGGCTGCCATTAATCCTGCCGATGAACAGTGACAGTGGTGCCAGTAGATGCTCTTGGGGGCCCAGGCGGCAGGCCAGGAAGGACTAGCTGACTGTAGCCAGCCATTCTGTCCATTTCTGGTAACCACGTGACTGATCCCTGCTGCCTGTCAGTCATTTCCTAAAGTTGCTGTTTATGAGCTCCGAGAACCTGACTTTTCCCCACCTCCTCCTAACACAGCTCCTTGGCAGGCTGAGGTGTCACAAATCCCTGGGGTTCCCTGAGCACCAACAGCTCCAGGAAGGCCAGGATCCCCAGGAAGGCCAGGCTCACCGTGAGCACCGTCTTGACCATCTTTGCTGATGCCAGGCACACCTTGAGGCCCTAGAAACCAGGAAAGTGAGTTAGAGGCCGTGAGAACTCCAAAGCAGCAGCCATTCACAATCTACCTGAAAGATTCTCTCTCTACTGGCTTGCTTCTGAACCCTTCAAACGGTCAGAGATGGGGCACTGGGGCATAGAGTCCAGAAGAGCAGAGGCAAAGACAGGCGGCTGGGCAGGAGGTGGGCAGGTACAGCTGAGACCGGGCTAGCCACAGATAGCATCCTGTCCTGAAGACACAGTGCACTAGGTCTCAGGAGGGCTTGTGGGGTGTATGTCAAGGGTGTATTTATTTGGAGGGGCTGGAGAGATGACTCAGCAGCTAAAATCACTGGCTTGTTTTCAGAGGTGCTGAGTTCAATTCCCAGCACTCACGTGGTGGTTATAACTGTCTACAACTGTAATCTCATGGAATTTGATGGCCTTTTCTGGTGTGAAGATGTACATGCAGAGAAAAAAACACCTCTGTACATAAAATATGTAAATACCCTTAAAAGTAAAAAAAAAAAAAAAAAAAAGAACATATTTGGAGTTGGCAGGCAGCCTGGAGCATGTTGGGGAACTTTAGGTAGGGGTGCTAGGACAGCCATTTACCAACATGATTTGACCCAAGTGTGAGGGCACAGCTGGGTGGAGACTTAGAGGTAATACTTAAGGCCATGTAGGTGGAATTGTAGCCTGGGGTTGCCAACAAGATAGTCAGGACAGCAAATAGTCAGGGCAGGGGTGCCTTGAAGAGAAGGGAGTTTGTACCCCAGGGAGAGGGGCTACACTTCATGGAGGAGGGTAATGAGCCTTATGAGGTGTGGGCACCTTACAAAGGAGAGAGGTTATGCTTCCCAGAGGAGACAAGGGAGGGTCATCCAAGCAGGGATCTGGCTAGAGGAACCCAGAGAGGAACACTCTAGGAAACACAGCTGCCTCCTAGGTGCTGAGATCACACCTAGTCCACACCAAACCTCCAGCATTTAGCTGTTTACATTAAGACACTGGGCGTGACAATCAGGATGACTCAGCAGGCAAAAGTATTTGCCTAAGAGCCTGGTAACTTGAATTTAATGTCCAGAACTAAAGCAGAGGAGGACTGGCTTCACTCAGTTGTTCTCTGATCTCCTCTACATGTGTGTTGCCCACAGGCACATGCGCACACACACAAAGAATAAAGAAAAAAAAAATCAGTGTCTGTGATCAATTAAGAGAGATTAATTTTCTGGAATAGACAGTATATTGAGTAAGAAGATAATCAAACCTATTTAGCTAAAGTTGGATACAGAAAAATTATTGATCACTGATTATTCATTGTTTCTAATACTCAAGAGATTATAAAAAGCCGTTCCTAACCAGTGAAAATGTTTACCAAGTGAGAAACACTTCCAGCCCTCCTCCAGAAGAACTGTGTGATGACAGTGGCCTACCTTGGGGCCCCTGGTCCCCAGCAGGCCCATCCAGCCCTGCACCTGCTGTACCCTTGTCTCCTCTGTCACCTTGGCTTCCTGCAGTGAGGAAACACACAGACATGTTAGAACAGCTGCCCACCCACTGTGATGGCCTTTCCCATCCTGTTTCCACAGAGCTTGGCTGAGTTTAAGTGTTTTGCTTAAGTGTTTTGCTAAGTGAGGCTATTCACCAAGGTATACACCTACATCCCCAACACATCAGCTGACATCATCCTTACCTCCAAAATCACTGGTGGAGCCCTAGTTTTGTTTGAAGTATTTATGCTTCTGAAACAATTGTATTGTTTGGTGTTAATGTTTCAGTGTGTGTTTCCACTCACAGCTTATCAAAGGATACTTTGTTTTTATTCTAGTGTTATTGAGACAAGCTTTTAGTCTATGGTCCGGGCCTGGAGTTCATTATGCAGCTCATGCTGACTTCCAACTCACAGTCTTTCAAGTGCTGGGATCACACCTGGCATTACAGTGTTTTTAAAATATCCTCTAAGTGTTCTTCAATCTTGCAACTCTGTTTCAGTCTGGTCATGGTTACATAGGGCTGGGCTGTAGCTCCATGGTAGATCACTTACCAAGCATGCACAAGGCCCTACATTAAATTCCTGGCACTTCAAGAACAAGAAAAGTAAAAAGCAAACAACCTCCAATAACGCAGATACAGCAGCACTGATTTTCTGGCTTGAGTCCTAGGACACTAGACATATGAGCAGATGTCTGAGGTGCAAGTCTAAGGCTATTGCTGCTTGTTGGACTATCTTACACTACTGTTGTTAGGAGTGGTGCTGGGTCTGCAGTTGCCAGTGACCTGGAGAGGCTGCCCCAGTGTGGGGGCTTTAATGCCTCTGGACATACACTGGTTCCATGTGTGTCCAGAGGACTCAGCATTGCATTTCAGGGAGGGGAGAACAGGGATAGCAATGACCATGGCCTAAGCTTGATGTTTGAGAAGGCCTGATCTGGTATGCACATTCTCTTCAGCAGGTTCACAGCATCCTGAAGCACACTCAAAATTAAAGGTGCCTACTGCCTCACACAGAGTGGACAGTATGACATGTTTACTTTAAAATAGAAAACGGGTTTGTGTAGCCACCCCAGCAGGCTTCCTGAGATCTGTGTCTCTGTCGTGGCCTTTAAGTGTCCAGCTGTTTTTCTCAGAGCATCTATACAGGTACGTAATGCTCTAGATTTTATTTTCAGTCTAGAAGGAATTCAGATACCTGTTTGGAGGAAATCCTATATGTTTTAAAGATGGCAGTCACTCACATGGCACCAGATGGCATGGACTGCCTGAGAAGGACATACTCTGGAGGAATGACCAAGAAAACAGTCATCTGAAAGTTGATTTGGGACAGACTGCACTGAGACAAGATGAATTCTCCATGTTTGTTCTCCAGTGTTGAAATTCCTCAATCTCCAAGGATTTTAAAAGCAGGTAAAATGACATTCAAATTATTCCAAGTCCATCCACCTACCAAAGTTTTAAGCGTAATGGTGTAGATGACGAGGGACTCAGAGAATCACTTCCCATACAGATTATTTTCTTAAGCTGCTTTTGGGAGGCAGGAAGCTACTGTCCAATCAATCAGAACCAGGTGGAATCAGGTTTCAAATCTGTCACCAGTGTCACCACATAAGGCTTGAGAGGTCTATACTTTAAAATACACAAATTCTAAAGGTTTTGGGGGAAAGGCTGATATCCATCAGCTCAATATGTCATCACAACTCCCAGTTTGCCCCAGCCTTCTTCCAGCAAGATGTCCACAGAATGTGCTAATAGCTATGAACACCAGCAGACAGGTAGTGAGGTCTGACCTGTCTCTTCCTTTCAAAGGCTCCCTGATTCACATAATCTTAAATACAGTTTGAATGAGTTGTTTTTATTGCAACTGACATTGTCATCTACTACCAGTCTTCATTAAAGTCTGAGCTCTTGAGTGAAAATGGGCTCCCGTTATTTATTGCTCACATCCCCAACGAATTTTGTCCTTGAGAAAAATACCACATTTCACATTACTGTCCTTCCCACAGAATGGTAAGAAATTACCTGTGGTGACCTCAACAGTACAGAGGCCCAGATTGTTGGCTGCATTTTATAACATTTATAGCATGGTGACCCATGTAGGCAGTAGGACCGGGGGACCTACGCCAGGCCCATAAATGTGTGTTGCTCCCAGGTCTCATGACCATGAGGCAAATCAAGGGCAGAGATGGCAATCTCTCATTCGGGTGACAGTGGACCTGATTGTCCTTTGAGTCCTCTCCTTCAAGTAAGACCTCTCAGCATGGGAGGGTGGGGCTGGTGGCCGAGACAGTGCCATCACAGTGGCATGAATGTCCATGTCTTGCTTGGATCAACTACGTACCTCTAGGTCCAGGATCTCCCAGCTCCCCAGTGGGGCCTCGGTATCCAGGGGGACCCCGCGCACCAGGGTGGCCAATGGATCCTGGAGGGCCTGGGGGTCCTGGGGGGCCAGCTGGACCAGGCCTACCGATGGAGCCTGGTGCTAAGGGTTTCCTCAGGTGTGCAGCCAACTGTGCGATTTGTTCTTTTGGAAAACAGGATGCCAAGTACATACTTCAGAGAGGATTATCAAAGTATCTTCATGCAAAGTATAACACAACCAGCTATCCTTCAGAAGGGAATTCACTCACTGACCAAAAATGGTTATTGCCTGGTCTAGGGTATACCAGGGGAATCGAGAGGCCCCCCCTTCCCCTCTTCTCTCGGAACACCCCACATGCTGGAATGAGAAGTTCAAAGCCACTCAGGGAAGGAACTGTCCCTCCCGGCCAAAGGGCACAGTGGCTTGCTTCTTCCTTGTTTTTTGAGACAGGGTTTTCCTGTGTTCCTCTGGCTGTCCTGGACCTCTCTTAGACCAGACTGTTCTTGAACTCAGAGATCTGTCTGCCTCCACCTCCCAAGTGCTGCTGGGATTAAAGGTGTGCACCACCCAACTCCTTCCCTGTAACTATTGCCCTCAGTAGTTAGTTGGGGCTTCTCTGAGCGCCCTGCATTGTGTTAAGTCCTGGGAAGAGGACAGGCAGGGTGGGGAGGACAGTGGCCAAGGGGCAGAAGCTAAGTGGGGGTAGAGGAATGCACAAGAGACTCACCACTGATCATCCCTCCACAAAGCTCCCTGATGCGCTGTTCACTGGCTTCCTTGCCCTGAAATTCACCCAGGTCCATCAGCAGGTGGGCCAGTACACCAGTAGCCCTGACATACCCAACACCTCACTCCCCAAACTGATAGTTCACAAAAATATCATGGTCTAAACCCAGCACAAGTCTAACACCCCCAATGCAAGAGGAAGGAAAAGCCACAAACCGGAACTCCAGGCTTCCCTGTGATGCCTGGAACACCCTGAAGGCCTTGGAGGCCCAGTGGCCCTGGGGGACCTGGTACACCCTGGACTCCGCTGGTGCCATTGGGGCCCTGGATACCTTTGGGGCCCAGTTCCCCTCGGCTGCCAGACTGCAGAAAAACAAGAGGAAAGGGGTCAGAGTGAGTCCTCCTTGGGAAGGCCTGAACCTCAGGGGTGAGTGGCCGCAGGAGATCTAGGCAGTACCCAAAGGTGAATGGGAGCCTGTGGGCTCCTTGGATTTGTACTCACCTCTCCTTTTTGTCCAACGGGGCCATTGGGACCCTGTGAAGAGGAAGTTAAGTGTATGCTTTGAGCTTTGACTATGTATGGGTTTTGTGGAAGTGGCTGACGTAGCCCCTGCTCAGCGGAGGACAGCACCCAAGCTAACACTCAAGACCCCTCACACATGAACACACCAGAAGGCTTTTCTTTTTCACCCACAGACGCTGTTTTAAAACCTCTTTCCCATGATCTTAGTGGCTGCATGGTATCTGCTCCCAGTCTCTTCACTGCTGAGCCCAACATCTCCTTCCTGGAACTTTCCCTAGCTGGGGCCTCAGAAATGGTTGGTCCCAAATGTGTAAGTGGACCGACTGGGCTTTGCTCACAGCTGTGAGCTGACTGCCCACAGATAGAGCAGGAAAGGACAGAGGGTGACGTCCCCACCTGGCTCGCCATTATGGTAACTGGCACAGCGCAGAGGTTTCTAACTGGCAGGGGCTCTGTCCCGCACAGCCACTGTATGCCACTCCATCAGGTTAAGAGAGGTCAGGCGGGCTGATTCTAAGACTCTTGTCAAGCATTTCCCCAAATAAAGCACAATCAACTGGATCATTTACAAAGGGCATAGGAGGTCCACAGTTGCCAAGGGTTGCTACCTGAAGGGAGGGACCCTGGAGCTAGGCTTTCTCTGTGTCACTTAGACAAAAAGGAAAGACATCACTGGAAAACCGGAATCCCTGGCCACCTTGAAGCCAGGAAGGTCTTTCCATTTGAGTTCCAAGGCAGTTCTGTTCTGTGAGTGACTTAGTCAAAGTTCTACTTTATAACAGACCCAAGTTCCAGCTCTGAAAGTGGGGTTGTCTCCACTTAGACCTCAGCAGTGGCTGATCCAAGCAAGGGTGACGAGGCCCTCGGAGAGTCCCAACCTTAGCAGGGAACCACCCTGCCTGTGTCTTCTGGACCCCACTCTCCTACCACATACACTTAACGGGATGGCAAGACCTAGGCACTTGGGTGCTATTCATACCTTACCTGCATCTTCAGATCCCTGATGCACAGGACAGTCCCCACCCAGGAGACTCTCAGTTGGCAGTAAGGGGCTCAGGCATACTCACCAGCTCTCCTTTGTCTCCTGGAAGACCATCAGAACCTGCAATGCCCTGAGGATGACACACTAAAGTTACCTTTGGCTCCTCCCCACCTGAAGTCACTTGTGTATTATTACCGATCCTAGGACTGAGGCCAGAGCCGAGGCCAGGAACCTGTACTTGAAGGAGCTCCCAAAGTAACACGAGAACCCAAAAGCCACAGCCCAAGAGTATTTGCACAGCGAGGCTTTCCTGTTAGATGGCACCTTCCTGGCATTACACGGAGAAGCCCCGGACCACCCAGAGATAGACTGCAGCAGCCACCACAACGCACCCTCTCTGGGCTGTTTCAGGAAAGAATTTCAGAGAGAAGCCCACAGCTCTAACCTGCTTTTGCGACACCAGTGTTAGAGACCAGACTTCACATCTCTTTACGCCTTTTACAAAGCCCATTTCCCTAATCAGAAGTAGCTTTCTGTTGCCCCCCATCCCCCCACCGACAGCCATGTAGTGAGTTATCATAGACAATGACTTGTACCCAGTAAAGCAGCTGACTTTGTCCCCTCTGATGCCCAGGGCTGTGCTGAGCAGGAGCAGAGGAAAACAGAAGCAATATGGAGAGAGAGAGAATTGAAGGAGCCTCTCAAGAGCTTCGAAAGCAAACCCCAGCCAGAAGATGGCTTAGAGCTAACCCAACATGCGTGGGACTTGTGCTCACCTGGTCTCCTTTAGGGCCCGTGGCACCTCCGGGACCCTGGGCAGAGAGAAGGGTCGGGATTAGAGAAATCCTGGGGACCCCACAGAGTGTCACTGCCCTGCTTAGCAGAGGCAGGAATCCCACCTAGAGTAGGCATAACAATTTCTCCTAAGGCAGGGGGATCAGAACCAGACCCCAAACCCAGCTGTCAAACCCAAGTTTATAGGTAAAAGCAGCATACAACAGCCTTCCATGCCCCACAGGTCTTTCAAGGGTCAATTTTCCCAGGATAGCAGCTGCCTGTCACTCCCAGTGGACAATGAATTATTAATGTCTATGACTTGTGAGGGTATTCCCTCTCTGTGTCTCTGGTCTCTGTCTCTGTCTCTCTCTCTCTCACACACACACACAGAGCTTTTTGCTTAAATGGTGGAATATGTGCTTCCTGGACATGTAAAGGTGAAGGCTGTAGCAATGGCTCAGCTCTTGAGAGCACTGGCTGCTCTTGCAGAGGGCCTGGGTTTAGTGCCCAGAACCACATCAGGCAGCTCACAGCTGGCTGGCTGTAACTCTAGTTCCAGGGAATCAGACGCCCATCTCTGACATCCTTGGGCTCCTGCATGCACACAATGCACATACATAGGTGTGGGCAAACACCCATACACATAAAGTAAAAATAAATCTTTTTAAAAAAGAGAATTCAAATGTGAAAGTAAAGGCAAGAGTTATCCAAGGACGAGACAGCGGGGGGGGGGGGGGGGGGGGACTGCCCCCCCCCCCCCCGGGCCTGGGGCAGGCATTAGCACCGCCACCACCAAGCTTTTCCCTCCATTTGCTTAGGGTCCTTGGAGTTGTTGGCAAGCTCCCTAACCCCTGGAATTTCCTGCCTGGAGGTTAATAAAGTACCTTTTGTCCCTGCTGTGTGGTGGTGGTTTCGGTGGCTCCCTGTGTCTGTAAAGGTGCCCTGGAGCCTCCAATGCCTGAATGTACACATCTTTAGAGCGCCTGTCCCTGCCCAGTGGGGACTAAGAAAGCAATCGCATAGCCTCTAATGACCTGGTGTCTGGGCTAGGCTCCCTGCCAGGACCCTAACCTCCCACTAGGGGATCCCAGGAGTGAGGACCTGAGTTAGCCACAGCTCCCCTGGGCCCTGATATCACTGGCTGCTGTATGACCAGTAGCAAAGAGTCTTGGAAAGTTACATGTTTGAAACACTAGGGTCATTCAGGCCTCAGCTCACGCCCAACAGGTACCGCGGAGCCTAGAACCTCACGTGACTGCCTCTCTACCCTTGCCCCAGTAACTGGTTCTTTTAGGCCCGCATGTGGAGCTTTCCTTAGAGCAGTGAGCATTCTAGATCCCCTCTTGCCCAAGAACATCATCAAAAGAATGAGCAATAAAGGGACCAGGGACACCTGTTCACAGAGTTGATGCTACTGCCTCTAGCACCCATGTGGAAAGGAACAGACTGCTGGCCTGGGTCTATGTAGATTGGTTAGAGCAGGGAGGCACAAGAGAAAGACACTTACCCGGTCACCCACGTCACCCCGTAGGCCTTGGGGGCCTGGAAGGCCAGGGTCTCCTACGTTGCCCTTATGGCCCTGTGGATTGGATAACATCCCAACCAGTCAGCACCCCTAAGAACCCAGCCAGCCTCCTCTGCCCAGTCAACCAGGGACATTGCCCTGGCTCAAACCCTTACTCCAACTTTACCTACCTGGAAGCCACGGACGCCAGGGGCCCCAGGAGGACCTTGTGGGCCAAGAGCTCCCTAAAAGACCAGGATATAAGTGGATATTGTGAAGTCCACGGAGGCCCTAACAGCCCTTGTGGCTCAGGAGACCCAGCTATATCTCCCTGGGGTGTCGGGTGGACAGTGAATGAGTCTTAAGCCATGTCACAAGCACAGACACCTTCTGAGGCAATTAAGTGTGGGGAGCAGATCTCAGTCTGTACCCAAATTGTCAGACTGGCTCAGTGTCAGGTAGCAATGCCCAGTGTCTTCCTCAGGGTGTTAGTGGAGAAGGCTGAACCCACAGGTTATAGTACAAGGCTTTGGAATTTCCACCTAAACTTGTCAGGGTCTCAGCAGCACAGTGGCATGAAGAATTTGAGGCTAAGGTATCCCAGCATGACACCATTATCCCAGAGGGCGAGGGATAAAGAAGGTGAGATCCCCCCATTTCTTACCATTCCCAGGTTTCAGGGGTTTGGTCATTTATATACCCAAGTGCAACCCCTTCTTGCCCATAAAGCATGTCTTCCCACTCACCGCTGAGCCCCTGTGACCAGCCTCACCACGCTCCCCTGGAACACCAACATCTCCCTGCAAGGAAAGAAAAGGTCAAGGGCAGGGTATGACATATGACATACGTGAGAAGGGGCAAGATCCCTGTGTACAACATGGAGGGAGGAGCAGAGTCTCCATGTGCATTTACGAAAGGGCCAGAGTGCATGCGTACACAGAGTACATGCAGCAGGGTTTCTGTGTACACAATGGGAGGGGCATATACTCAGCATGCACAGACAAGGCAGAATCTCTGTGTACATACAGGGGAAGGGTAGATTCCCTGTGTGCACTGGGGGGGGAGGGAGAGGGGCACTACCCTCCTACGCACAGGTAGGGAAGGGTTATGGATACTCACAGGGATACCTGGCTCTCCAGAGGGGCCAGCCTCACCCAACTCCCCAGCTCTGCCCTGTAGAAACGAGGAGACAGAGAATGCTGTCCTCTCCCTCCATCACCATTACTGCAGCATTGCCTTTCTGGGGGAAAAGCAGCTACTCACCGGTTCTCCCTTCTCGCCTTTGGACCCGGCTCGTCCAGGGAGCCCCTGTCAGGACAGGGATCAGGGTCAGGGTCAGGGTCAAGTAAGGGCCTGGGTTAGGTTCAGAGTTGAAGTCAAGACAACAGCCTAGGTCCAGGCTGGAGTTTAGATTAGGCTTAATACTAGGAATCATAGGGTCAGGGCTAGGAGCCAGTATCAGAACCAAGGCTGCTGAGTCCATGGAGGGCATGCATGCAAAGAATATTCACAGTGCAGCTGCATAGTGTACGCATGGGCAGTGTGCATAGGCCAGACAACGTGCTCCAAAGGGTAAAGCTGACCCATGGTGGGACTCACAGCCTCCCCAGCCCGATTCAGAGCCACAGCACTCCCAGGCAGGGCCCACAAGGGTAACCCCACAATGTCCAGAAGGAATATAAGTTCATTTGCACTTGTTTGTCCCACACTAGAGTACAGGTATGTTCAAGTAGGGTTCCTGTCCTCCTGCCCCAGGGCTGTGCCAGACCCCAACAGAGTTATTCCTAGGACATCTGCAGGAGCTAATCCCAGAGGAACCAAGCTACACAGCTTGGGCACTCACCGGCAGCCCATTGGGACCCTTCTCTCCTGGGGCACCGTTGCGACCAGCCTCTCCCTACAAGGACAGTGATTAGGGTATGAGGAAAAGTGATGCTAAGGCCTGGGGAAGCTGAACTCCTATCTCCTCCCAGCAACCATCCTGCCGGGCACCAACCTTCTCGCCATCAAGCCCTGGTACGCCATCCTGGCCATCCTTGCCTGGCATGCCCTAAGGACAAGCAACAGTATTAGGCCCTTGAGACAGAGAGAATTACTTTGTTGCATGGAGAAACCCCTTCCTTTCCCTCTAAACTAAAAATGTCCCATGAGTCCCTGAGACTGGTTGTGTTTTCCTGGCTATATGCTGCCCTCAGAGGCCTTGCAAGGGAGTGGGTAGACAGGGTACCCATGGCTCTCAGCATACCTACCTATGTTTGCCGGCCTTTCCTTCTTAGGCGCCAGTTAAGCCTATCCCTAGACTACCGGTTTCTACAGGATCACAGCAGCTGCAGAACTACAGGCTGGAGCAGAAGGGAGATGTGGACTGCTGTGGGGAGGCGTCTGCAGCTGCTGGTGCCACTGTAGGTTTCTGGGAGATGTTGGGGCTGCTGGAAATGCTGAGGTCTCCCAGGGAGGCTATGGATTTCTGGGGCTGCTAGAGCGGTTGGTGGGGCTGTTGGGGGGACTGCTAGGTTCTGCTGTGGGTTTCTGGGGCTTCTTGGAATTGCTGAACCACAGTGGTTTAGATGACAAGGAGGTACTGATGGGAGATGCCATTATGTATATATGGTTCTCATACTGGTTAATGAATAAAGCACTGTTGGCCAATAAGAAAGCAAGGTGGGCGGGACTAGGAGACAAGGAGGATTCGAGGAAGTAATAGGGAGGAGTCAGCATGTAGAGACTGGAGAGAGCAGACGCCGGCCCCACTCTCCGGTAAGATGAGACCACGTGGAAATACTTAGATTAATAGAAATGGGTTAGTAATTAAGACAGAGCTAGCCGATAAGAAACAAGTAACTGGCCAACAGCGTTATATCAAATGCAGAGTCTCCGTGTGTTCATTGGGGCTGGCGCCGTGGTGGGTCAGGCATTTTTGAGGAGGGGTCCCTGACCCATCATAGGGCACACACTTGTGAAGCAGGGCCCGGTGTATGGGCGGAACTGTGGGAAGAGAACCTCAGGAAAATGATGACAAATGGCAGCAAGAGTTCAGCCAAGAGGAGCAGCAATGTTGGGGCAGTTTATGTGACCATGACACCAGGCTTGATGCCACGGATACCTGAGACACTCACTGGTTCTCCACCGGGTCCGGCCATTCCAGGGATTCCTTTGGGACCAGGCCTGCCCTAAAGGAAACATGGGACAGAAAGGGCTGAAGTTGGTGCCCTGAGGAATATCCCACCTTGCCTCACCCTGTGTGTCCCCACAGGCTCAGCCACACATGGCCAGCTTTCGGGACATCAGGTAGACTGTGTTTCAACTGGAGACGGTGTCGTGGCTCATCCCAATCGCTGCAGATACGATCCATCACCATTAGGGTTTATGGCCACTGTAGCACTGATCAGCCACTGGCCTCAAGGAGGGAAAAGGATGTCTGGAGGCTGCAAGTGTTTGTGGACAGCCAGTTCTGTCCAGGAGAAGCCTGGCTGCCTACGCTGTAACTCCGAGTCTATCTGCAGCTGGCAGTCTGAGGTTACTGGAGAGGAGAAAGGAAGCTACCTGCCTGTCTCCTATGGCCTCTCCCCTGGGCTTCTCACTGCTGGCTGCTAGGCAGGCAGGGAGGGAGCTGGGACCCTTCAGATCCAGGTCAGGGTTTTGTTTGTTTGTTTTTGGTTTTTCGAATGTAACAGTCCTGGCACTCACTCTGTATGTAGACCAGGCTGGCCTCAAACTCACAGAGATCCACCTACCTTTGCCTCCTGAGTGCTGGGACTAAAGGCGTGCGCCACCACCACCTGGCCCATTTCCAGCATTATATCCCTTCCAGAATAGGGTACACAGCATGAAGAATCCTCATGCCCCCGGCCGGGGTCCTCTAAGTGCCCTCCACCCCCAACTCTAGTCAGGAATTAGGTCAGGCTCTTTCACAGACAGGTCCAGAGAACCAAGCCCCTTCTCACTCACCAGGTCACCCTTAGGGCCTCGGATCCCTTCTGGACCCCTCTCACCTCTGTCGCCCTAAAAAATAGCAAGGGGGTAGGGACAATGTTAACAACACAGAGAAGGCAGGAAAGCTGTGTGCCGACTGAAGCCTCTTCCGGGTTTTGCCTGGTTTAGCCCTCTAGACCTAGTCACAGGCAGCCTGGGATGGTGACACCGCCCCCCCCCCCAGCCATATCCAGACAACAAAGGAGGCAGGTCTCCTGTGAAGGTCAGATACCCCAATGCTTCCCAGCTGTGCTGTCACCGAGGCATGCCATGTGCCTTATGCTACTTCACACATGCCCTGGACCTCACAGATAGCTACGCCACCCCGTGGTGTATCTGGGTGCCTCGTGTGTCTACGGACACGTCATCCTGGGACAGGGCTACGGGAAATCCAAGCGGGACAGAAGGCAGCGTTTGTGTGAACCAGCCGCGGGATGGTGGTCAAAGGGTCTGGGCTGGTCTGTGGACCACACCCCACCCCACCCCACCCACCAGCCCAGAGAGATACATACCACTTTCCCAGGTGCTCCTGGGATCCCAGGGGGGCCCCGAAACCCAATGGGACCCTGTAGAGGAGAGAAGGCATTTGATGTCCTCCTACAGGAGGCTCCAGCCCCGCCCCAACTTGCCAAGCAGCAAGAGCCCCGAGTTTCTGGCTGCTAAGGGTCTTTCATCTTGAGCCTGAGTAGAATCTGGGTAGGGATGATCCCAGGACTGATGTCAGCTGACCCCCTGTCTGCCCACCCCCCACCCCCCCACCCCCCGCCAGCAGCACTTACCCTGTCTCCAGGGGGCCCAAGTGGTCCTGGAAGTCCTTGTAATCCTCGTGGGCCCTGAGAGAACAGAACCAGTGCTACAGAGGCCAGATGGCACATCTACCTGAATGGCCACCACAGGACTTGCCTCAGAGTCCCCCAAGGCCTTGGCATCTTTCCTAGAAGTGCTTGACTTCAACTAAAGCTCTTGGAGGGAGCAACACTAGCCTTGATGTCACCCGGGATGCGACCCTCTCTCAAGGGCTGGTTTCTTGTCCCTGAAGTCTAAACTAACTTCCCTTGGTGACCATCACAGGGGCTTCCATGTCACCGCCCTGACCCTCCCTGGCCTCACCTGTAATCCCACGGTGCCTGGGATGCCGGGAGGCCCAGGGGGGCCAGGATTACCCTACAACAGAGAAAGTAGTAGTCAGTTAGTCCACCCTAGTCCTTCTAGTATCTTCCATTTCCCACTGGTCCCCTTCCATGAGCCTGAGTCATGAGGGGCATTACTCCTACTTCACATCTGAGCCATGGAGGTTGAGTGAGGTGGGTACACTTAGGCCACATAAATGATGGTGACCTCACCACTCCCTGGGAAGGACCAGAGGTCTCTGTCCAAGCAAAGGGCCCAGGCCTTCTTAGGCACCTCCTTCCTGGCCAAGTGGGGGAGTGCCACTGTACACCTGGCGGTCTATACTCAGCCACTCCTACCATCAGAAGGGTAGGCAGGACAGTGGCCACTGTGTCAGGTGGCAGAGGCCCAGAGCCAAGTGTCCCCAGAGACTCTCAGTACACCAGGAGCTTCCGTGTGAGGTCAGATAAAATGTGCTTATACGAAAGGAGTCTGCCCCGGGGCCTCCCACTTCTGACTAGCCAGGCCCCATTGAGGAAATACCAGCGGCAGGTACCTACCCAGAGGTTTTGCCTATGGCTGCCCTTCTAGGTCGGTGAACCTACGTGTGGGCAGCATCTTACCTTCTCACCATCTTTGCCAACTTCTCCTTGTTCCCCTTTGTAGCCAGCAGGTCCCTGAAAACAAACATGGAAGTCACAGCCCCTAGACCCATGGATGCCCCCGATTCCGCCTATGCAGGCTCAAGGGCTGTGCAGCCAGCCAGCCAGGCAGGAATTCAGAATCCTAGGCGGAACCAGATAGGGAGATTGAGGCCTGTGCTTTCCAAGGACCCCCAAGAGGAGGATGGTTAGGATTAGCCCTCACTCATATCTCTCTCTCTCTCTCTCTCTCTCTCTCTCTCTCTCTGCCTGACCACTAAACCATCTCCCCAGCACCCACCTTTGTCTCTTTAGGTACAGGCAAAAACAATGTCTTCGCATTACTAACTTCAGCCTCCCCCAGACGGGACAGGCGATCCTGCATGGGCTACTACTGTTAGAAACGTGGTAGATTCTGAGTTAAATACATACTGGCTCAGTGGTAGAATACTGCCTAGCTTACATCAGGCCCTCAGTTGCCAGGCCTAGCCTGGTCATACTTCTAGTGTGAGAAAATGGGGAGAGAAGATAGGATGAGTTGATGGGCAATTATATCCCCCCCTGTAACAAGCTGAGTCTAGGCTCAGACTTTCTGAAACCCCAAACTACATAGCATGGGGGGACCCAATGGCCTCTGTCAGTGGAGAAGCGTGCTCAGCCTGTCACCTGCCGTTGCCCACTCACCTTGAACCCTGGCATTCCTGGGGGTCCAGGGGGGCCCGGAGGGCAGATGGCAGGGCACTGTGGAAAAGCAGAAAGATCAGATCCTTCCAAGACAGCTAGGGCAGGATAGCGCAAGAGAGGGGGTGAGTGTACTGAAAAGGACCGTTTCACCAGTGAGGGAGACGGTGGGCAAGCCTAAACAGGACTCCATTCAGTGCTGGGCATGAGGTGTGGCGAGCAAGCGAGCCACTGGAGAGCTGGATTGTAGCCAGTCACCCTCCTCCCTCACTCTCTACAGACAGGCTCAAAGTCAAAGCAGCTATTTACACACTGGCTGCTGGCTGCAGGCTCCACAAAGGGGCCTTCATGTGACTGGGTACCTGGAGGCTCTTGAAGGTGGGGGGGGGATGCTACATGTCTCAACCAATAGTACTGATGCTCTGGTTTGACAGCATATCCTGTGCCAGATACCAAGAAACTGATGGAGATTTCCAGCTCACTTCATGCTGAACTGGCCAAGGGTACACAGTGGTAGTGACTTCTACCCACCTCCAGCCCATCCCAGAGGCTCAACACTTGTCCTTATCTGGAAGAACCCCCCTTTCCCCTTCTAGGGGACGTTTGAGCAAGCACGAAGAATGGTGGGAAGGTGGCCACCAATGTTGAGTGAAACGGCACCCAGATGGGGATGAAACCAGACACAAACTGTCTCCTAGGAACTAGGAACCCCCCTGCAACAGACTAGGCCTATCAGCCACTCAGTGCAGTGGCTACTTACCACCTAATACAGAGAACAGCTGAGAGGTGGCTCTACAGGAAGCCGAGTTGCCACCTGATGGAACTGCACTCATTAGGAACCTCTTCTCTGTGACTAGCAGCTTTGTGAGGGACAGCACAGGTGTAGATGGTGAGCAGAGATGAGGCCAGGCTTGTGCCTGGAGCCATCTGCAGAGCCTGGAGCCCAGTCCCCAAGGAACTCCCCCTGGGGCCTTCCTGCCAGGAAAGCAGGTCCCTCTATGGTAGAGACTGTCTTGGAACCCCGCCCCCAGCAGTGGCCCTAGGCAAGACTCCTCCTCCAAAGCAGGGCCTGAATAGGTTTGTGACTATGCTCATAACTGCTCCACATTCACCACGAAGCATACCTGCAGGTCAGTAGCACCTTCAGGGAGGACTCCAGGGTTTCCCTTGAACATAGAAGAAGCAGTTGGTGTCCATCCACCCCACTACCCACTCTGTCTTTGGTTTTCGTCTAACAGAGGGCTTGAAATCCTCAACCCTATCTCCCCAGTAGCCAGTGCAAGGCACTGCTGACCCATCTGCCAAGGAGGTGACAATAGATATCATTTGGTGACCTTGAATGCTGTACCAACCCACCTCCCACCTGCTTCTGGGGAATGGCAGAGCCCGGGCAGGTATTAAGGTGGGGTCCAGCCTAGGTAGTCTAGGCAGCCTGACAGAGACCCCTCCTCAGTACTTACAGGAGGTCCAGGCGGTCCTGGGGGGCCAGGCAGGCCTGGGAGTCCAGAGGGTCCCTACAGAGGAGTCATGACTCAGAACAGAGCCTGCCCCACTGAGGGAGGGCACCAGCTTCACCCAAAGTAGAGGATACTCAGCTCCCTTTATCCTCCCTGGATGAAGCCTGTGTTGCTGCCCATCTGTCTGCCATCCTGAGTCATGGGTGCCTCTCTGCTGGGGCTTTAGTCAGTGCCCCCCCCAAGTATGGGGCAGGGAGGAAAGGAACAGAGAGGAGAGAGTATACAGGGAAGACAGAGGTGAGGGTTAGCAGGAGGAGGAACGTGGAGCCTCTGGTTAGGTGTGGGTACTAAGGCTACATGTGTTCGCGCAATGGCCACACAGCGTGCAGTCACTCACCGGGGGGCCTCGCAGACCAATCCCACCTGGGAGGCCACTCACTCCTGCCTCTCCCTGGAGGAGATAAAGAAGAGGGAACCCTGGGTGAGGGACTCCCACCAGGGCTGTCCGCCCTTTGAAAGGCCAGGATTCCTAGTGTGAAGAAGTCAGGTCATGCCCTAAGAAGACCGCTATGCCAGGGTCTGGGATTTCCCACACAAGATGGGACTCAGTGAGCGCTGCTCTTTCTGGGAACTGACATTTTTGGGAGGGGCCGAGGGGGTGATGAATACTCACAGGAGGTCCAGGGAGGCCTTTGCCCTGCAAAGACAAGAACAAGATCAGAGCACAGGTTGGCCCTGCTACCCCCCAAGGAAATTTGGGGGTTCAGGAAGAGTGAGGTACCTGATTTAGGAAAACCATACCCGCTAACCCAGAGGTCATAGCCTAGGTAAGATTCTAGGCCTCCAGGCCAGTGCTAGGGACCCCATGGATATCATCCCACAATGACCAGGTACACTGTGTTCATGGGGAGGATGGGTTGGTACTTACCCCAAGTCCTGGTGGCCCTGGGGGTCCTAGACTTCCCTGAAGGGGAAAAAAAAAAGAGGTCAGATACACAGGGAAGAAACTTTGGCCTTTGTTTGCAAACCTACACCCCCCCCCCCGGGTTCTAAGTCATAACTGTCTAGTTGGGGAGCAGGGATGAATACTGCTATAGAACATTGGGGCCATGTAAGGCTCTGCTGTCCTAGAAACCTGGGTGAGTACGGAGGAAAAGCATAGCCAAGAAAGTTGCTAGTGGGTGGGCGGGGCCAGCAGGAGGCAAGACACAAGGGTAGGTGTGAGCCACAGTTAGGGCCCCCAGACTGTCTTCTGGAAGCTGTGCCAACACTAGCTTGCAAAAGTTGCCGAGACCTCAGGACTCAGTCTATGTGAGGGAACTAGCAGCTTGGCAGAACAGGGCCTAAAATGACTGGTTTGCCAAGAAGTTGGGACACTCTGGTCGTCCTTGCACTGTAGTTCAAGTGTCCCCAAGACAGCCTGGGACCAGCTCACCCGAGGCTGAGCAGAACTAGCCCAGGTGGCCACCAGCAACTCACTTTCATTTAGGTGCCCACACATCTGAGTAGCCCATGCTAGCTGTGGTCTTGGGTCCCACCCAACCCTCTTGCTCTCAGAGGAGCTTTGTGTTCACCGCTCCTGAGGTGAAGATCTTGTATAGACAGATCTGTCCTCCAAAGGAGAAGAGGGTGGGCCAGTTTGCCAGTAAACAGGGCAGATTCAGTGAAAACGGTCCGACTCAGCGGATGTGCAGGTTCCTCCTGTACTCATTTACCCAGGGCCCTGGTATCCAGAGACACTGCGCAGAGGGACACCTGGGCCTCATCCTGTAACCCCCATCACCACACCAGCTCTCCTTGCCATGGTCTGAATGCTAAGATGACTGTGACCAGGTGCTCGGGATTGCTGGGAAGGGGGAAGGGGCTGTGGCGCTCGAGGCTGTCCACTTGCATTGTTCCCTGAGGCGGAGTGATGGGATAGGGCCCAGCCAGTGCAGTCGTGGGCATTATCCACAGAACTTTCATCCTGGTAGCCTGGTGGGCCACCTGGGAACCTTATCCCTGGACTGTAGCCACTGGGATAGAAACACTTACCCGTTCTCCAGGGGCACCTTTGGGTCCTGGGGAACCATCCCTCCCGGTCAGACCCTGGAAAAGTAGGTAAGGGGATAGGCTCAAGAAACCACCAATGAGAAGCACGTGCCATGGTCCCAGGAAGAAATGAGCCGCAGACACCTTCCCTCCCCCCCCAAGTTGGTGTTTCTGTGTCCTGGAACTCACTCTGTAGACCAGGCTGACCTTGAACTCTAAGAGATCCACATGCCTCCTGAGTGCTGGGGTTAAAAGCGTGCACCACCACTTCCTGGCTCACAGACACTTTCTTAGCTATGAATCCAAAGGCAGGGACCACTTAGAAAGGTGTACCTTGGAGTGGGCGGGGCCAGCACGTGGAGAATCTGCCACCAAACCCGAAGATGGCAAAACAAAGTGGTCCAGCAGCCCAGTCCTCAGACCCTGTCTGGCTAGTCCTACAGCCAGGACCTTGAGTGCATCACCATTCATCAAGCCATCAGGGAGCTTGCAGGAACACTGCTCGCTCGGCCAGCATGGTGCAGGAAGCCTGACAATGGGCACTTGTTCTCGGATAGGTAAGAGCTGATGCAGCTCCCCACTACTGGAAGCTGGTTCTGTCCCAGCCAGGAGCTGGCAGCGTCTGGGATGAAGGCCAGGGACCCCCACCGGGAACTACCTCCACTTCTGTCAGAACAAGGCTTCCGCCTGAATAAGCCCAGCTGCAGAATAGCAGTGAAAACCGGACCGTTGGCTGAGCTGAGACAGGGGTGAGGTGAGGTAGAGATGCAGGAGGAGGGTACACTCACATCCACACCAGGCAGTCCTGGCAATCCTGCCTCTCCTGGCTTCCCTGGCTTCCCCGAGGTCCCTTTGGGTCCCTGGTAGGAGGAAAGGACAGAGTTATGCAAGAACTATCTGGCTCTGACTGAGTTCCAGTCTCCATGAGGGATGTCAAAGTCCTCTCTGTGTTGGTGTTGGCTACCACACAGCTGTGGTGATGGGCTCCTTGCCCTGCTCCTCTGCCAGACCCTGGAAGACTTGTTCCAGCCTCCCCAGCAAAAGACCAGCAGGTGGGTCACCACATAGGAATGCCTGTGGGCTCAAGATCTGCAACCAAGGTGAGAGAGACTGCACAGGCACCGTGGGGAGAGGCCTAAGGGCTGTACTATCTCCCTTCTCTAGTTTATCTGAAAAGTGTCACAAACAAAGCTTCCAGCCAGACCCAGCAGAGAGCCCATAAGCTACCCTCCCACCCACTTCCAGGCTCGGCCCCCAGGCCTCTCCTGGGGCAATGCAGGCCCACAGAAGCCAGGCCAGGGAGTCAGGGATCTTTTGTTTTCTGTGTTCATCTCTCCCTTGCAAACTAGAAAAGCCTCCCTTTTCCAACCAGGGACACTTACTGGAGGGCCAGGCAGACCGGGAGGGCCAGCTTCTCCCTGAAAAACACAACAATGACCACATGTGACCCCTGAAAACAGGAGACCCACCCTAGAGCTGGGCCATTCCCCAATCCAGTCCTGCAAGCCTGGCTCATGGAGACATTATGGGGGTCCCCAGACCCTCTCATTTATACCTGGAGCCTTTCTTCTGCAGGCTAGCTAGGGATGGGGTGAGCTAGAAACAGGCTCAGCCACGCAGCACTTGGGGATCACTTGGGAACACAGGGACACAGTAACCTCCAGGAAATACAAAGTGGCTATAGCTAGCTGAGCATCTTGACTCCCTCTGTCTGGGAAACGGCAGTTCCTCCCCCATTTTCCAGAAAGATACCCAGCAGCTGCATCCTCCACGGACACCTGCTAGGGTAATGAATCTTTCAGCTGAGACTTTAAGACTATTTTAAGGAGGGACCTTAAAGCCTGGATGCTTAGCTACAGCAGAGGGGCTCCTGGGCAACCTAGGTCCAACATGGTAGCCGAGGAAGGGTGTGAGGGAGCCTGTGGCTATCATGGCTGAGTTAGGTCCTGGAAGGAATTCAAGGAACTTTTGGTGAAGCTTCCTATAGCCCTCTATGCATGCATCCCTAGGGGGAATAACATGGATGTCTGGGGGCTGCCCTTCCTGGAGAAGAGCCTATGGGAAGCTTTCCACTCCATATGATGGAGGTGGGGGGAGACATGGGGTAGAGCGGCAAGACTTCAGTTGCCTCCCCAATTCGTTTGGGCTGTAACTGAATAAGACACTACCCTTGAGGATAAACTGGTCCCCATCCCCATCTAAGACTGACTCGATTCTCAGCCCCAACAAGATCCCATCCCCAGAATAACCCCTAGACTACAGGAGGACATGCATCTTTCAGGGCTCAGTTTTAGCCAAGGGCCAGCCTATTATCTGTACTCCAGGATCTACCCCAAAGAGGAGCAAGGTCTTTTCAGCCCTACTGGGTACCCTGTATCACCCAAGCTCTCAGAGGAGGGGCTTGCATGTGTGGTCACCTTCCCCAACTCACATCGATGCCATCCTTGCCCGGCTTCCCAGGAGGCCCTTGGGGACCAGGGGGGCCTCGAGGTCCCACTTTCTGAAATTAAGATAAGTTATTAGGTAGCCCTTTTTTCCACCATGTCAGACCCCTTTCCCATCTTCCCCAGCCCAAGTAATTCTGGGGCCTGTGGCAGTGGCCCATGACCCCCCCCCCTTTCCTGCCTGCTAGAAAACCCCAACGTCTCCAGGGCTGGAGCCTGGTGAGGAGACACAGTTTATCCCCACTTGCTCCAGGAGTGGCTGTGCCGCTGCCCCACAGGGAGTCTCTAGGAACAAAGGCAACATTGTACATTCTGAGCGTGGTGGCAGCGCCTTCAGCGGCCTGACCCAGTTGGGCCAAGACGAATGGGAGCCCAGGATCACGGTCGATTTGTCCTGGTGTCCATAGGGCTCGGCTACATCACTAGAGTTTGCTCGCTGGAGCAAGGTGGCGGAGAGGGTGCCATCCATGGACGTCCTCGAGGGTCCTCGGCGGCGGCACTCAGGGCTTGGCCCAGGAGACTCCAGCTGTCTCAGGCTGTGAGGTTCCATGTCCAGCCCCATCCCCGACCCGGTCGGCACCCGAAGGCTCGCGCTCACCTGCGCGGAGGTGGCCGTCAGAAGCTGCCCCAGCAGCAGGAGGGCCAGGACAGGAGCTCCGGTCATGGCTGGCTGGCGTTCTGAGCGTCTGGCGCCGGGCAGCAGGGTGGGGAGAGGGGCTGGGGGCGGCGCGAGGCCTTGCGCCCCGCCCTGCCCCGCCCCACTCGGGCACAAGCCCCCCATTCAGCTGGGCCCACCTGGGCCAGCGGGGCGCCGCGTGGGCTGGGAAGAAAAAAAAAAAAAAAAAAGAAAAGAAAAACCAGCAACATTTTCCGGCCCTCCTTTGAGTTAAAATTATCCCAGGACAGCGCGCGTTACACACTCGCACCTTTCAGCGCACAAGAAAGACTCTTTTTTTTCTCTCACTCCTCTGCCATATAGTGAAGAACCCCCGTGGTAAAGGGCTTCTTTTAAGAACTGCAAAGGGCACACCCAAGCTGCCCAAATCACAAGAGTTTCATGATGGGTGCGTCTCTCCTTAGGAGGCCTACCATGGCAAGGATCCTGTATAGTGACAGGGCAGCAAGCACTTCGGGCTAGCCATCCCAGCCCTCTTAGTTTGGACCCAGGATCTAGTGGGGGTAGGGGCGGTCTGGTTCATTTCAGCCACCACTGGAAAGCCTCACATTTATGGTGCACCCTGTTCTTCAGGAGGGAGTAAGATGGTGAACTGGAAGAGGAAAGTAGCAGCTTGGAGATCAAGCTGCTGGAGAGGATCCAGTTAGGACATACCTGGAAGCAAATCTCCACAGCAGTAGTCCCTCCTTCTTCAAATTACTTTACTAAATTATGTATGATCTTCTTGCCTGAATGTGTGTAAGTGCGTATTGTGCATGCCCGTTGTCCGGAGAACAGAAGATAAAGATGGTTGTGAGCCTCCATGTGGATGCTGGGAAGGGAACTTAGCTCCTCTGCAAATGTAACAAGTGCTCTTAACCACTGAGCTAATTCTCTAGGCCCTTCCCTTAATCTCCCTGACATCTAAATCACCGGTGGAGCTTGCAAAAGCTGTAGGGTCCCAGACTACCTGTCCTTTCTGAGAACCTGAATTTCCATCGTAAGGCGACCCTAGGTTTATAGGACATGGCGGAAGCTCCATCTGCAGGCAAGGATCATGTGACAGAAATGAACAAGAACAGAGTAGATAAGGGTGAGAGAGATGGGGGGGGGGGAGACAGAGACAGAAGATGGAGAGAATAGGAGAGGGCAGAAGTGGTGTGTGGGTCCTCCAATAGGAAGCTGTGGCTTTCACCTGCCAAGTGAGATAACAGGAGATTCTCATTCCACTATCAAGCACTCCATGGCCCACTCAGCTCTGCAGCAAGTGCTTGTGAATGTTCCCGGAAGTGAAACAAGCATGAGCTCGGGAAGCCTTGCCCTCAATCAGTCAGACGTGTGTGTGTGTGTGTGTGTGTGTGTGTGTGTGTGTGTGTGTGTGCGCGCGCGCGCGCGCGTGCTCTGAACAGCCCATCCCACATGGTTCAACCTGGAGAACACAGTGTCATGGCCCCTGTGAAGAACCTCCCACCCAACCCAGGTTCCTCTGGGCACCACAGCTCGGCCCTTCCTGCCACCTCACACCTGGCGTGTGGCATGTAGGGCGACCAACTACTAGATGCCGCTCAGGTGGGGCACAGCTGGCCTTTAGATTGGGTCTGGAGAACATTTTTGGCACTTGAAGCAGGCTTTGTCTTCAACTCCTTCACACCTTCAGTATCTGTAGACCTCTGGGGTGAGGCCCTCATATCCTAGACCACCTGTCAGGTCCAGGCCTCCCAACACTTGCCTTTGAGCTGTGCAGAACTGAGCTGTATTTACCTGTTTTGGTATGTCATTCTTCCTAAGTCAGGGGGTCAAGTGAGTCAGAGTGGCCAGCCATTCCTAGAGCCTCTCCTCACTTTCCAGTGCTGATAATCCCCATCCGACTTGAGTCCCATCCATCTAGTCAAAGATGCCTTGGCACTCCCAAGGGCAACCCCACCTGAAGTTAACTACTTAGATGCCTTCTATCCATCTCAGAGCATCTATTTCCATTTCATGACAGAAGCCTTACCATGAGCCAAACCACAGCTAAGGTTACAGGGGCCCACAGCTTTGAGCTAACCTTGGGAGGGTGATGTTCACAGCATAGTTCTGTGACCTTGTCAAGAAATGGCACTGACCCCTAGCTTCAGCTCAGGGAGAACTGTGACTCTCTCCCTCAGGATACCAGGGCTATGCTTGATGGCTACCTCATTTGCACCAAGATATGTGTGGCTCCCTCCTCTCCAAGGTCCATGGAACTCCTTACATGACAGACTGGCACGTGGCAGAGAGAAGCTACAGTGGAATGCCAGTCTGGTAGGTCACATGGGGCCTCAGGGAGGCCTATCAGTAGAGAGGGTCAAGAAAGGACTGGTCTAGACATGCAAACCCAGCACTGTCCCCAGCCCACCCAAGGGAACAGGTGACAAAGTAGCAGCTAAGGTTCTGATGACCAAACCTTGTATTCAGGAAGGCCGTGTGTTTTAGGGTAGGTCTGCATAGAGTGCCTGTGCAGTCAGTGTCTGGCGGACTCTGTGTGGGCAAAGCGTCATGAGGTGGCATTGGCCAGGTGGCTCTGAACTGGGGGCAAGAAAGAAGTCTGGAAGAACCAACCCACAGAACCCACAGGCAACCAAACAGGACTGTGGTCCACACCAGAAAGCAAAGTCTAAAGAGTTTATTCAGAAAAGGCCTCACTTGGCACCAGACTAAGAAAAGAGGCCCCTCCCCTGAGACCCTTAGGGTTTGTTCACAAACACGGGGCTCAGAGGGCAGTGGGGGAGGACACAGTGAGGTAAGGAGGGTTCTGAAGGCCATGGCCTTCCCTGAGGGCAGGGCCTCAGTCCCTCTGGTGGCTTCAGTGACCACCAGGGAGAGGCCAGCACTGTGGGTCACCGAGAAGAGCCGCCAAGGCTCTGGGACTCAAGACAACCCCTGCAGTGGGCTGACTAGGACTGAGACGCACCTCTAAGGCTTTGGGGGGGGTCAGCAGAGGCCCCCATCCTCGCCATCTCCTGACTCATCCACTGAGATTCCTATCGTTTCAGGATCAGGGTCCTCCACCGCACTCACAGAGGAACCTTGCTCTGACCCCGCCTGGCTTTCTGGGTCCTCTGGCCCACTGCCATCCTTCTGGGCCTCAGGACACTCTGAAGAAGTCGGAGGCGGGGCATGCGCCTGTGTGTCAGTGTGATGGTTACTGGCTACTCCATCACCCTCAGCCCCCTCCTCCACCTTCCTCCGTTTTCTTACCTCATCAGCCACTCTGGCCCCATGGGGATCAGGACAGGGCTGTTCAGCCTCCCTGGGTTCCTGACTGATAGGACTGAGGGCACACCCCTCAAGGTTGAGGGCAATTTTTTCTACCTCAGAGACACTCTGGAGATCTGGCTCCCCTGGGACCTGCTCCTGCCTGTTCCCCTCCAACTTCCTCTTCTTGCTCTCTTTGGGGCTCAGTGACTCAGCCTCATCCCCCTGGTCCTCATCCAGGGTTCCCGCATCCTGGGGCTTTGTGCTCAGCAGAGAGGGATCCTCAGCTGTTCCAGTGTCCCCACTCAGGTCCCTTCCAGATCCACAGGTCCGACCCTGGGTGCCAGCCTCTTGGAAGGGGTTCCCGGAGCCCTCATCCTTATCTGCCTGCCCTACTACCATCAGTGGCTGGGGTGCAGCCTGGGGCCTGAATTTCCGCAGCTTGTCACGGGGCCCCCAGACAAACTGGCAGCGAGGTTTGAAGTGCTCCCATGCAAAGTGCACGAGCACCCGGCGCTGATGTCGGCAGCGCACGGCGAACAGGAAGTAGTCCAGGACACTCTGGCGCACGCTGGGCAGTTTGTGCTGTACCAGTGTCTCTTCCAGGAAGAAGCGGACCAGCGGTGCCTGGTAGTGCTCTAAGCCCAGCTCGCCCAGCGACTTGAGGATGCGTGTAATACGCAGGTTGTTGTGGCTGTGGCTGTGAAGGCAGGTGACAGGAGGTTGGATGGACCTGGCCCTGGGGATGCACATCTGGCCAAGGAATCTGTGGCCGGCTCCATCTCGAGTTTTAAGGGTCTTCTCAGGGCCCACCTGGGAGACTACTCAGTCCATGTCTGGGAGCACTGTTGAAAGCTAGAAGGGGCCGACACCCTGGCAGACAGACCCAGAGTGACTGAGATGTCTGGAGACCTCCCCTGCCTCTGCTTCCTGGCTGGATGGAAGGGATGAAACACTCCCAGGCCAAGGGACTGCTGCCTTTTATGACCTCACAACCCCTACACTCTGTGGCCTGTATTAGACTTCTCTGCTGGAATCCCGGCCCCAGCAGAAACGAATGGGAGGGTGCCGGCAGGGCCCTGTCCTCACCTGTTCAGGTTGTGGAAGCGCGGCTGGAAGTTCTGTGCCCGGCAGACGGCACCAGTGTCCCGGTCCTGGAGTTGGATCCCATAAAAGCCCAGCATGAGCTCATAGGCCCTGACAAGACGCTCTCTGACCTCCTTGGAGCTTTTAAACGCCTAGAAAACAATCCCCTGGGGGCTTAGATGGCCCTCACTTATCACCGCTCCCAAGGAACACTGGGTGGGGCTGCTGTCTACCAGGTAGGCTACTGCCTTCCCTTAGGCCCTGACTCAGCCTCCAGGGATGAGACAACTTCAACAATCTCCAGCTTTCTTCTCTGAGGCCTAGGAAAGCTGTCACTCTGTTAACCTGAGTCACCTGCCACAAGGCATCCTTGCTATCCTTGTCCAAGACCCTCCTGTCCCTAACCTCTACTACAGACTGATCCTCTTTCTGTGATGTCCCCAACAGGTGGCATCATTCCCATTAGGCAGACTTCTACATACCACAAGGGCACCATGGGGCTCTTCTGGCCCCTGAGGCAGCACAGACACTATCGGAGTGACCTCTCTGCAGCAGGGGTAGCTCTCCTAACTTCTCAGTCTGGCCCAGGAAAGGAACTTACCTCAACCTCCTTGAGTGTGAGGGGCTTGGCATGCCAGTTCACTCCTGGTTCCCTCAGAGGAAACAGCCTGAGAAGATGGTGAGGGTACAGGCACTTTAGTATCAGGCAGCAACTTGTTTATCCTTAATTCAATGCCTCCCTCTTATTCCTGGGAAGGGCTGGGTAAGGAAGGCAGTAGGCCCAGAATAGGTAAGATGTCTGCTTGGAGCCTCAGCCTATGTGCTCAGTGAGCTGTGTGGTGTAAAGTCAAAATGGGCAAGACCGGTGTGTCTGTCACCTTC